TAACAAATTTGCCACTGCTTGGACAGTCTTTATGCCACAGCTGTTTACTGAATACAATGAATCTGACCCACCAGGGTTGCAGTTCTTTCAGCAAAGTGATTGATGGTGGATTGGGGTGCACTTAGAAGATTCAAAAGAAAGCTACATGTTTGTAAACTTCAAAGTACAACAATGGATTTGCCTGGGAATGAAATGTGGCCTCTTAAGCACAAGGGACCAGTGTTATTGCCAGAGTTTAAAAATCATACAGAAGCCAGATCTGGTTTTCATCTTAATTACAGATCTTCTAGCTCCAAAGATAACAATCACAAACAGCAACAATTACAGGTCCTTGAGGTGGAACAATGTTATAAATTAAGCAATCACCAAGCGCAGGATCAATACAGAGCTGCCCAAGGACATGAAGCAACCTATTGCAATACACTGTCAGCACAACATCTCTGCCGACAGTGAAAACTAATTTTCTCTCATTAATTTTATTCAGCTCAAAAGAGAGTCTTGAGTTTTCAGATTAGAAAATGGGAATCCCCTTCTTGTTCAATTGATAACCTTTCAAATAAAATTGCCAAACAACATAGAATTTGAAAGTATCATTGCACATGCAGTGTCTTCCCTATAAACAGCAAAGAAATGGCACCCTTTAACATATCATTTGCCAAGACAGGTCAATAGGGTGTTAAAAGAAATATACGCTCATCTAAATCCCACCCACCAATGATTCCTTCCCTGCTTCCCAATTTTGTTCCAAATCAAAACGTGAGAAAGTGCAGCAAAGTGAAAGTCAATCGCAGACCACCCAGAACAGTTAAAACATGGGGCATCTTCACTCAGTTAACTGTGAAATTAACTCCAAACACATGGAATAAATTGAATTCCAGAAAGTATAGACCATCAAAAAAGCATTAGTGGTAAAGCCTGATTGCACAGTTTTCACGTACAGTTTTTGAGTATTTTCAGTTGAAATTGTGCTGTTCACAGGGCACAAGATGCCTGCAGTGGTTGCCCACATAAGAAGTCACTACATTTCAAAAAGCAGTTCATTATGAAGTACTTTGATGTGATAAGATGCTATATAAATCCCAGTAAAACCATAAAATCAAAAATTCTAGCACTGTATTTTTCTTCAGTAACATTTCTCCTTCATCACTGTAAAAAGGACAAAATTTGAACTTTGACTCAAAGGGGTCAGGAGAGAGTGTCTACAGCGAGTGACACCCAAGGCCATCAGATTTCAGATGATCTCATCTGCCGTTGACATTACCTCCAATAAAAACGGTAAAAAGATTCAATCAAAACTAATCACTGACCACGATCTGCAAAGTACAAGTGGCAAACAAATGCCCTTCAAATCTCAAGGGGAATGGAATGTGTTCTGATGACTAAAGCAGCACAGCAGCAAGTTAACCTTAAATGTTTCACCTAAAAATGGAAGTTTCTCATTTATAGATAGAGAGAATACTACAAAAAAGGCACAAAAACATTCCATTCAGCCAAAAATAAGCAAGCAGTAATAACATCACAAGTTTAACATCCATCAGGGAATGATCCAATTGTGTTTACTGCAAAAACTGAAAATTAGCTGGGAAGTTGAAATAAAAGTGCCTTAAATTGGGCACAAAAGTTCTCTTTTAATTTGTTTACAGAGTGAGAGAACTGCTGGCTATGCCAGCATTTATTGCTGTTTTGTGCATTATTATTAATAATTTGGATGAAATACTAGCGTATGCCAATGGTGAGGTCATCTGAAACCCTTGGTGTGTAGAACAGTCTTTCTTCTCATGTATACAATATGTATTGCAAACAACATACTCAACTACCAAATTTCAATTTGCACAAGTTTTTAAACTACTCAGGTTTAGAAGGTCGCTTTGCAGTGTGCCCACACTGAGTTATGAGGTAATAGGAGTAATTTCCATCATCAAAGCCTGACATGGCAGGTTCCAGACTGCATTCATGAGCTGATTATCATCAGAGACCAGATGTTGTACCCAAGCTCCGTCAAGGCATTCTGATGATGTTGAAGGAAGGGGTTGAATTTAAAGAAAGCATGTGGAAGCAAAGAAGGTGACTTCCAGTGAAGCTCAGCACAAGCTAGGAGAATAGCACTTCATTTTCCATTTGGGAACTCCACAGTCTTCTGAATTCAATACCAACTTCAACAATTTTAGGGCTTGAGCCATCTTCTCTTATGTCCTTACCCCAACACCCACACACCAGGCCTTGATATCACATGGCTTGCTATTGAACACAACTAATTGTTAGCCAATAGTCCCCATTAATAGCCATTCATTCTCCTAGGCTAATCATTATCCACTCCTTTGTCTGTCCAACTGTAATTCTCTCTCTTTGGGCTCTATATCCACCTATCATTTATTCCTAACCCCCTCCCTCCACACCATCATCTGCATAAAAACCAAAAGAAAATCAGTTCTGAAGAAGGGTCACTTGACCCAAAACATTAACTCTACTTTTTCTCCACAGATACTGCCAGACCTTCGGAGCTTTTCCAGCAATTTCTGATAGTGTAGGTGTCCTTTATTTTGTTATGCTCCTGTGGACAATGCAAAGCAGTCAGCAGTTGGTACCCCTTATAAAATTTAATCTGGACAGTGCATATTGTGTTATAATACATTAAGATGAAATACTTGTGGTTACAAGTTTATCACTGGTAATAGGAGCAGCTTGAATTAAGGACAATTGTATTTGTTTAATTACATTTTGTGAAAACTTTATCAGTGCCCAAGTACTAAATAATTTTCCCAAAAAGCAATGTCAAACAAACTCTGAATTGGGTTTCAAGGAATCTCAGTGCACAATGAAACTATGTCCATCAGTGTAGTCAAACAATTTGGCTGACCTGTAAGCAGGTCAGAAACACAACCACAGCAAATGACAGCAGTCATTCAGGGGTCCTGCATGCAAAAATCAAACTATACTGTTTCTGATGGAGGGTCAATCTGAAACACTTATTTTGTTTCTCTCCATAGATGCTGTCTGACCTCCTAAATGTTTCCAGTTACTTCTTATTTCGAATTTCCAGCATTGACAGTATTTTGCTTTTGTACTATAAAAGAGGTGGGGGGAATTTGAGAATCAAAGTTGTAATCTGATACTTTTTTCAAAAAAAAAACACACAATGTATAAATCCAGCCTTTAAATAGATTACATGCCTCATCTGCTTAGACACTAATTCCAACTGATGCAAAGATTTATTTTTCCAAGATTCTCAACATCTGGGCAAGAGGAGGGTTTTATGTAAAACACATGATAGCCGAGTTATTTCCTGTAATCTTGTGGTGATTGCGTTTTTTTTATTGGTAATTTTGGCCCTTCCAGCTAAATGATCCCTATTTTTCTGTCTACCCAGTCTCAATGTAAAGGACTGTGGAGAGCCACTAACCTATCCCTGGAGCTGAACCAATGGATGGACATCTTAAGGATGGACATCCCTGGGTTGTACAGTAATCCAATCTCCCCTATTGTTGCATGGCCTACAGTCAAAATTACATTCCAGCACAGTATGGCACAGTTCATGAACTGAACACTGCAAATGTATCATCCTGCATTCTATCACTCAGAGCACTCACCAGCCACAGGAACATAGCAACAGTAGATGGTTCAGCCCCTTGAGCTTGCTCTGTGATTCAATTAGACTATGGCTGATCATCCATCACTATGCCACTTTCTCATGGTATCCCCCTATCTCTTGATGTCAACAGTATCCAGAAATCTATCAATCTCTGTCCTAAACCTGTTCAACGGTTCAGCTTCCATGGCCCTCTGGGGTAGAGTTCCAAAAATTCTCCACCCTCTGAGCGAGGGAGTTCCTCCTTATCTCAGTCCTAATCATCGCACCCCTTGTTGTGACACTATCCCAGACTTATTTGACGGAGATATTATCTCATGTACATCCATCTTGTAAGAATTTCTAGGTTTCAATGAGATTCCCTCCACACACAAAATAATTCCTTCACAACATCTTAATCCTTAAAATGAAAATACCATCAGGGGTTAACTACATAGGTAAACACCCTCGCCACTGCCACCATCACAAGTAAATAAACATGAACTAAAATCCTTTCATTTCCAAAGAAGATGGACTTTAAGATGTAGGAGGACCAGATGATGATTTTAATAAACCTCGAATCTTAAGCACAGCAAACAGACATCAGTGCAAGTAAGGCCTTTACATTGGTTTATCATCCACCCTTGTTTTTCTGGTTTCTTCGCTCACTGGTTTGTAACAAAGCCAGTTCTGAGGCAGGGAGAATTTACGTCTGGAAAGTGTAAGGGTGGTGAGCTTGGTAACGCCAGTTATTGGCAGTGAAGGTGGATTCGAAATGAGAGGTTTTGATTTGTTTTATTTGTCCTCTCTCTCCCCTCTCGAAAGCGAACAACATTCCTGACTTCAAAAGTAAGGAACCGTTAGAATGTTGCCCGAGCTGCCAAAAAGTTTCTTCTCTGGGAACACAGGACAGGGTTTGGGGGGTGGGGGGCCTGTACATATAAATAGCGAACGGGGCTCCCCAGGTCCAGGCTGGGGGTAAAACTAATCCCTTCAGGAGCTGAATAAATTGGGGATCGTTAGATGGCGATGGCAGGAACTCCGCTTCCAATGTTCACAGGCCCAATACTCCCAGCTCTGGTACAGCAAGACAGGGAGCGGGGGGGGGAAACACTGGTCTGTAACTGCAATCTCTCTGTGTTTTAGAGATTAACCGGAGATTAAATGCGCCCTCAGATGCGGTTTATTGTAATTTAAATCTCAGGAGACAAAAAAAATTATTGCAGGAGGTGGGGGGGTGGGGGTGAAGAGAGAAATACACTAATGACTTTGAAAAGTTAAACTCGGGACAAAGTTTCACCGCCCCACCCCTCTTGTCAGCTTTTTTTTTCTTGTGATTCAAAAGGAGAGAGAGGTAGCAAGAAAAGGGGGAAAGAAAATTGAAACAATAATTAGTGAAGCTGTTTGGGGGTTGGGGGAGGTTATTGCTGCTCACCTTCTCTCTCTTGCTGTCTGCTTCCATGGTGCTGCTGCTGGGGACTCACTGGCCGGTCCCAACACCAGCGAATATCCCCATCCAGCCGCACAAAAGCTTCTCCAATGCAGCCGGCCTCCCCGCTCCCCGGATTCTAGCTCCGTTTATTAAAAGTTCGCCATGTTGTTCCACATACTTTTCCCCCTCCCTCCTTTGGCACTCGGATCCTTCCTCTCTTCTGGAGTTCTGCGAATATAACGGATATGGCTGCGGGATCCCGAGTTACAGGCGCTCAGCACCGCCAGACTGGAGCCCGACTCTTCCCCCCACCCATCCCCTCCTCCTCAGCTACCACATCCTAATTCAATCAGCCCCGCGTACATCCAGCGCCCAGAACCCCCTTCACTGTCCGACTAATCTCCACCACCCCCACCAGAAGCAGCTACAGCCTCGATCAAACACCCACATCTGTCCACAGTCCCATTAATTCCCCACTAAAAACATTCCCAAATACCCCACAACCAACTTCCATTTTCCTACCAAACCTACCCCCACTACACTGAAACACACAAATGCTCCCTTTCAGCCAGCACTGCTCTGCTCTACTGTAATCCCTCCAGACTGTCACAACCATCTAAATACTCCAGTCAAATAACGCACACTCACCTCCCCTAAACCACCCATATACAGCCACAACTTTCTAAATACCCCAAACACCACACATCAGTGTGTAGTACCCACAGTCAGAACACCATCAAATACCCACATTGATGCCAACAATCTGTTAAACCCCTCCAACTACAGCCAGAATCCCCATTCCAATAAACTGACTCCAAACACCACCCCCCCCATCATCCTTCAAACTCCTGTTATCCTTCAAGATGCAGCCATAACCCTTAATAGAAAACCCCAGCCACCAATCAAACACCCCACATGCCATTCACATCCCTATAAAATTCCTCCACTGGACCCTGAACTTACATGAAATAAGCATGGACCTCCTCAAATCCATCCTCTTGTCCCAGCATCCACAAACACTACCACACCAGTGGCTGAGTTAAGTTTCACTGTATCACAGCTCAAGTGTTTCACAATGCATTTTTAGATTCGTATTTTTAGATTCCTGTTAAAATCTTTCAACTCCCATTAAGATGCCCCAGAAGAAACTCCACCCACTTCAAATACAGACATTCCTTTTAGGGTAAATTTACATGTCAGTAGCACTGGTGCAAAATGTGCTTCTTGTCAACGTTAGAGTTGTACTCTGAATTTGGGGCCAGGTACAGTGAGGAACTCTCTATTTTTGGTATCAAGTGAAACACTACTGTTGTATTCCAAACATTCCCACTCCATCCAAGAGTCCCTCTTAATGTTGCCAAGTTGCTCCAAGAACCCATGCAAATGTTGCTGCAACTTCCTGAGACCCAATGCAAACAATAATGCACTACCCCAAGACCCCTGTAAATGGTGACACAATCCTGTAAGAACCCTCTGCAAAAGAAGACACACTCCAGAGACCCCTGTAAACAATTACACTCCCCAAAACCCTTAAAAATGGTAACAAGTCAAGGACCAACGACAAGTGGTGGCAAACTCCCTCAGAGACCCCCTGTAAACAATGGTATTCTCCCAAGATGCCTTGCAAACAGTCACACGCTGAGACCTCCTGCAAACATTCACACGCTGAGACCTCCTGCAAACATTCACATACTCATCAGAAATGCCTATAGTGGTGGTACAGTCCCTGAGATCCTTTACCAATGTCGGTACACGCCAGTGTAATCTGAAAGAAATAATCAGCAAACAAAAGGAACCTTACAATAACCTAAAAAGCTTATTACCTGCATACAACACACAAGTAATTTCCAATTTCTTAAGGACAACCTGGATCTTTGGGACATCTAAATTGAATTGAATTAGCTTTATTGTCACATGTACTCAAATGAGTACAGTGAAAAGTTTATAAGTCCCCACTTACAATGCCATCTTAGGTACAAGGGTTCATAGATACAATCTGCAGAAATCTTCTAGGGTCCCTAAACCTCCGTTTCAAAACCTGTGCTATGGAATGTTGCAGCCCTAACCTCATGAGCTGCACTGTTTCATCAAAGCCCATTAACACCCATTGCAAACTCTAATTCCCAATGATTCTCAAACTCACCATCAAACCCAGATGTAGCAATTTAATTTTAACCAAAAATTGAAGTTTTATTTAAAAACTCCCATTTATTCTGAGAGTTGCAGTACCATGTGTTACTGGTTTCCTATGTAGAGGAACCCTTTACTACAGATGATTTTCATCCCAGAATCTATTTTAAAATTCATTAAATTTGTATTATAGTCAGTGTATATTATCCTCCCTCATGCGTAATCCATCTTTTTATTTAATTTACTCATGGAATGTGGGCATCAGAGTCTAGGCCAGCATTTATTACCCATCCCTAATTGCCCAGAGGGCAGTTAAGAGTCAACTGCATTGCTGTGGGTCTGGCGTCACATGTATGCCAGACCAGGTAAGGATGGCAGTTTCCTTCCCTAAAGGACCAGCTTAGTGAACCAGATGGATTTTTCTGTCGATTGACATTGGTTTCATGGTCATCAATGACTCTGTTCAAATTCCACCATCTGCCATGGTAGGATTTGAATCCAGGTTCCCAGAACATTACCTGGATCTGTGGATTAACAGCGATAATACCACTAAGCCATTGCCTCCCCTCCTGGACACTTAATTTGGTCAGGTAATAGTTATCCCTGCATAAAGAATCTATGCATAGTTGCCAAGTGTGAAAAGAAAGTTGTATAAATGTTGCACCCTTCCAGTTGCTACACAACTTGATGCATCTTTTGCAGGGTCGTATTGTCTTGCTCCTTCTCAGTCTGTTATACACGTGACTAAACAGTACAACTTTTCAAGTATTTTGAAGTCTAAAGAATGTCTAAGGAAAGAGATCCCAGAGAGCTTGAGATTAATGAAAGCAAAGAGGTTTAGAGCACAAGACTGAAAGGGGAAGCAGGGAATTTCAAACAACCACAAAGACAAAGCACACTGTATGGAAAAAGAAAATTTTAGTATGGGAGGGATTTCAGGCTCCTGGTGCAAAAATATCCAACTGCTGGAAATTTAAGGCCCTTGCATTCAATCATCAAGCACTAATAAATTAAATATTTCAATAGCTATTTGGAATTTTAGAAGAAATATCAAGTCTTTCTTACATTTACCAAAGGAAATTTCAACTGAATGGAGAGAGAAATGATAAATGCTTATGAGCCTAATGATATTTTTAGCATGGATTAACAGCATGTTTTTTTGCATGCTTCCAGATAAAAGCCCAGTTTCTAAAGGGTGAATGGCAAAGTAGGGTACAGTGATAAAGAGTGTTTAAGAGGATTAATGTATAACGTCACAGGGAAAAAAAAACAAAAGGAATTGATAATCAAAGATCAAAAAACTACTGTTTCAAAAAGTTTGACATGTAGGTTGTCTAGTGGCCTGTTGCACAAGTATATAAGAACGTCACACACATGGATTCAAGAATTTCCTGACTGCAATCTATTTAGAAAAAAAGTTAGTTTTCTTATCAGATTGTTTTTTTTTTGCCACCCTATGACACTTAAACTTCAGAATGTCAGTCAAATTCTGCATCCCCAACATATCCATTAAAAATCCATTGACTCACATCTCAAAAAATGTACTTAGGCTCTTCCCAGAAAGTTTCCACTGCAGTTAATTATTTCTGAGATCAATGGGCACCAATAAATGTTGGAATTATGCTGGAGTCATGTTATCCTTGGTTTACATAACTGTACTGAGGAGCGTTTGGGACAAAATATAAGCAGGGACATTGTCAAAATGCTTCAAGTGGAATTACCAGTTCATATTAAGAGCAAAAGATTAATAAAATAAGCTTGAGAAGCTTTCAAAAGATTTGTATTCATACTTCAATTCCAATGCAGTAACTACAGATAATTGGATAAAACACCTTGTTGATAACCTATGCATGAATAAACAATAAATATCAGGGCTGACAGTTTATGAAAGAAGAAAGAAAATCTACCAAAGATGGCATGTACATTTTCAATGCCAACTTTGATAATTTGGAAACTGAAGTACAGTAATTTGTTCTGGAGAATTCAGAAACTAAAACAACATCAACCATTATGGAACTTTGAACGTAGTTTACTGACAAAAATATAGCTAACAGCCTTGAACTTTTCAGACTGGACATTTTATTTAAAAGTACTCAAGAACTTGGCAAGAACAACTTATTTTTATCATTCCAAAGGTGAATAGTAAAGCCTATAACCAGTGTAAAATCTAGCATGCCATTGTCTCTATCAACTAATATATTTAATATTTTTCAAATGCATTTGGTAGTTTTGTTCCACAGCCCTCCAACTGTCTTCAAAGACGACCCACTGTGAGCCAAAATAAAGCATTGAGGGTTTTATAATCAATTCTTATTTATTGGACATTACCCGGATTATGGACAGGTAAAAGTACTTTTTAGGAAGCTAAAGGAAACTTTAAAAAAATGGTTTCAGCATAAGAAAAGTATCTGGCATTACTAAACCAGAGAGAAGTTTCTGGTGCAAAAACACGAAATTGTAACTAAAGATTCACATTTCCTGTATTCAGAACCTCCATATTACATCACTGTTTTTAAGCAGCAAAACAGCTGTCATAGCAGGGCTCCACAACTGCATCACCAAAACAATACTTACCAAAAAGGGAAGCTGTGTGTGTCGGTTAAACTAAATATGTAATTACTGAATATTCTGACCAAAAAAACTCATATTCCTGGACTCAGGTAAACTTTCTCTGCTATGGAATCTCATTCCATATTTCTAGTTTCCAGGCTCTTGACATCTAGTTTAAAACACATCTCTATTAGAATTGATAACTCTGGAAAGTTTCTCCTCTAAATGTTCCTCAATATGCACCATTCTAAACTTTCATCTTTAAAATAGTACATTTTGCATACAGTCCCCATGGGGAATTTGATATATAACAGCCTCCCATCAGCTATATGGCACACTTCAGAAACTGTGCAGGAAAATGACTCTGCATGTATATTACAGAGTTGCTCAGCATAGGATCTCCTGAAATAAGAACAGAAAATGTTGGAGTTATCGAGGTTAATTGGCAACCGAAAGCAGCGAAAGATGTCTTCCACAAGTGTACTTTCCCCGGAACATGCATTTATTTGTCTATCTTCATAGTTTTAAAAAGGTTTAAAAAAATAGAGGAGGGAGAACTCCACTCATAGATGACGCTGAGGATTTAAAAGATCTACATGCTGTTTAATAGAAAATTATTCAATGACAGTGTCAGAAAGACAATGAAAAGGACATTAAAATGAATTTCCGAATAGTCAAATGCATAAAGACAGAAGAAAAATTTACAAACACACAAGGCTGGTAAAAACAAAAATATCAATAAAAATACAAACTATCCATTATCACACCGTATCATTCATTCTTTCCCAAGAACTGTGAACCACCGGAAATCAACTGTGGCAACCTTTTTCTGGAAGATTCCTATTGCCTATAAAAGCCATACACATGGTCAGAGGAAGGTTAAAAATTTCAGTATAGTTTTAAAATACATACATTGGGAACAATGCATCACTTTGCTGCTAAAGTGGAGTGATGTTTAATTTAGCCCTATTTTTGTTGGCTAGCTAACTGTAAGTAGGCATTTAAACATTAATTGCAATTGTTGATGAAAGTTTATAGATTGCCAGCTTCATGTAAATTACTTGATGCTCACCTTGGGGAAAGACATTTTATCTAGGTTAGAAAGTGGAAATTCATTGGAATTTACCCTGTGACCAGGATAGACTGAAGGCTCAATAACTGATCCTAGCCATGTGGGGAGTAAGAAGATTCTGATGACAGTGGAATGAAGCTTACACTGTTCACTTGGCTGGCACACTACTTTACCCTGATATAGGGCTAGTTGTTCTCTATATGATGCTGAGAAGGACAACTGGAAATAGTGAGAGATAAACAGTTCTAGTAACTATCTTGCAATTGCTCGACATAACTATCCAGCTAATTGATTCCTGTCTCAAGTGTACATCCTAGGAGAAGCAGAAAAGCAGAACAGGTTTATCCTCAAATAATAACAACAGATAGCAACATTGTTGTAGTGAGCATGGTTCCCAAAATTAGGAGGGGATGGTCATCAGTGTATTGTGGTGCACGTTAATAGAATTCTTCACAACAATAACAGGCTGTGGCTGATTGATCTATAATCAGTTTCACATCTGATCATTTTATCTTGATTCAAATATTGACATTGAAATGGTTATGAAACCAGAATTCTAGGTTTATTGCTTATAAATAAAATACATTAAAATAAACAGCAGGTGTTATATGTTTAAAAAAATACACAGGTAACACTGTGAAACTCACAAAGAATCAAATGTTAGAATCAGTCATTCAGTAAGGATTTCATCTGAACACTAAGAACCAGATAAACCAAGAATGGTGAAGATTTCTTCACACTGCAAGTCTCTTCCCCAGTCATCACCAACCTTAGGCTTGAATAAACTGCTGGAAATCCTCTTGTATAAATTTGGTCACTGGAATGAAACAGTACAACAGAAAGGACAGAAAAGCAACTTGCTGCAATTTACCTATTATTTAGCCATGTCAATGAGACTCTGAAGTGATGTTGGCACCCAGGTTTTCTCCCCCTGTACAAACACAACCCCTCGGTCAATATAAATAACTATCCGACCAAAGGTGTAGAGCTGTTTGCCCTCGTGGCGTTTACCCATCAAGGGCATGAAAACAATATTGTGCTCTTCAGCCTTTGCCTGGATCAAGTCCTTGAAGTTCATGGGTATGGAGGCAGAGCTGACCCCAATGCCACGGTGTGCCAGATTCTCTGCTTCACGGCGCTCCTGCATTGCCTCGTACTGAAAGTCCCTCCGGCGCTCTGTATGGGTAAGGTAGGCAATGTTTTCCCGAGCTCCTGGCTGCATGTAACCACCTGTTTAAAAACCAAAGATGAAAATCTTAAATTCTAGATCCAGGGATTAACAAAATTGCCAATTGTATACAAATGGTGAAGATTTTACAGAACTGGGCATGCCCATTCAATTAGGAAGTCGTAGGTTACAGGATGATTTTAAATTTCCATCCAGGGTTAACAACTCTGGAATAAATAACTAGGAATTACATTGAAATGAACAGTGCAAGGATATAGATTTGATATAGCTTGACTGAGCTCAGAGACTAACCAAATTTTACAAGCGTGTTTTGCAAGGCCAAGAGACTTTTACAAACAAAAGAGGACTGTTGAATTCTACAAGCTATCTTTTAAACCAGGGAAAGGCAGTAATGTCTCCAACTGTACATTAGTCTGTAAATCTTACTGAAACACTGTTTCAATGACTAAACAAGGCAATTTTTCAAAACAGGTTTGAGGCTGAAGAAGTGGAACTGGCCATTGAAAAGTAAAAGATAACAAAATCAGTGCTGAGCATGAAGTATGTGCAAAGGCTACAGTAGGCCTTGGAAAGTGGTAGTTTTTACCCCACAGGTTAAACAAAGAACTTAGACACACCATTGGATGATTTGTACGAAGAACATCAATAGATCAATAAGTTCCTTATTATGTGACAATTACATCACCTCTGAAAAGGTGTACAAGAAATGTAGCAAAAAGGATAATCTGGTCTGCAGAAAAGAATTACTTGGTCAGTGACGTTGAAGAATCTAAAATCAGTATTAAAATGATCATTCAGGTGATTTTCTCATTTCTATTGGGTAAAAGAATTTAAACCTGCAGGGCTCAAAATTGTAATCTTCCAGCAGTACTAATAGATTCAAGACAAATGTTTCTGCACCGCAGAAGGACTGAGCAGTATGGTGAAAAGGTGGAAGGAATTAAATTTATTTCACTCTTGCTGGGATGACTGCACTAGTTCTATAGTCTTAGTAATTCATGTAAATCAATGTCATTTGTATGCATCAACAATCAATTCTTAGCCTACCATCCCATTGTTGGAAGCTTCACAGATATTCTGTCCTTCCTAACAGGAGACACCAGTGGATCCAGAGAAACCACTGTGGCAAATTCATAGGCCTTGAGGCCAAGAATAACACTGCCAGTATGATCTTAGCTGGGACCAGCTGACTCTTCTCAGAGCAAGGATAAAACCTTGTTTACATGGCTCAGCAGCTAACCAAATATATCTATTGCTAATACCTTGATGTTATACTTTATATCTCTACATTAAAATTTTATATCTGCAAACACTTCCTGTTAACATTTTCCATTTAAAAAAAAATCTGTCTTTAATGGAAATATCCAACATAAACTTGTCATGCTGTAACTATATCCTTCTGCTAGGAGGTGCAAAAAATAAAGAGGAACGCGATCGGGAAGATGTTCCAGGATACAGGTAGGTTGCAGCTACAACATACAACTGTACTGAAGAGTGGGTAAGCAGCATGTTGAAAATTGTTTTCAACAGCACTGGGAGGGACAATGCAGGTATTGTAGTGGGGGTTTCTGTGCCTTTTGAGTAGCAAGGTGCCTGTGCCAATAGGGTTGCGATTTTACAAACATTGTAGGGAGCTCCTCAGCTAATGTGAGAAATTCCTCCAGGGAATCCCAACTTCTCATGAAGAAAACGCAGGTTCTAAATTTGAACTGAGATTTTAAGTTTATTCGATGCTTTTTAAAAGTGTTAAGGATACATTTTAAAAGAATCAAAAAGGTTTAACCGTAGATTTGTCAGGTCATATATCTTATGCTTGTTTAAGGGATCTTGCTGAGCACAAATTTGCTGTTACAAAGTGCACTGGACATTCCATCGCTGTGACTTTGAATATTCTGCTGTACCCTTTTCAACGGAGTTCAAAATCCTTGCTCTTCCTTTCTGGAACTCTTTGCAACACACTGGTCATATTTTTCCCTTTTTCTTATCGCTCATCTTTATTTCTCTTCTTTTCCCTTCTCAAATACATGCTCTTGCTACCTTCATCTTTTAAAGAGCATCCAGGAGAAATAAAACTGAATTACGTACCAACTGTGGAGGTGACAGCCCGGTTCATAATGTCCAGGGCTTCATTAAACTTCTCCTTGATTGTGGGGTGGGCCAGTACCTGGTCAGAAAACATGGACTTCCATCCCAAATACCATTTAGTGACCTCTTCATAATTGGGACTGTTACTCAGCCAAGAACATAGCACCTAGACAGGAAGGACAGGTAGTTTGGGAACACAAAGGAGAATAAAGGACACACATTTTGTAAGATAGGTACTTTGAGAATAAAGTTGAACACAAATCTACAAGATTATATAACAATGTATTGCATAAACAGCTTCATGCTTCTACTCTAATAGATCAATCCTTCTTCTTCATTCAATCATCAGCAAACAATGTGCAGCACAACTACCTTGCTGCCAAATTTTGCAATCGCTGAGCCAGTGGTAAGCAAAATTTTAACAGATGTTCAATCATTGCAAGGCTTGCAAACTCACCTGTAACCATTTTGGGAAAAAGTTTTTCTCAAGCAATCCTATGAGGCTGGAAGCTGAGATCATGTCCTCCCAGTCCATCACCCAATGGAACGTGTCCATGTGTTGTTGGTGAGGATTAATCACAAACTCTGTCAAACACATTCCTGTCATGAACAGAAACAAACACATTGGACTATGTTCTAATCAGGAGTTAGCAGCATCAAATTTTGAATTGGAGGCACTTATCTTCATAACCATCTTCTATTTTTGTAATGTGGGTTACTTTTTTCAGGAACTATTGAAGATTAATAGCAAAATTGGATATTTAGATGAAATGACAGTTCTCTCTCTCTCTCACACACACACGCAGTCCTGAACTAATAATCTAAAGGCTTCTCAAATCCCAGTTTGAGAATTTAACTGAATTTCAATTAGATTAGCCAATAAAAAATTGGTATCAGTACAAGTGTCCAAGTTTTTGTTCAAAAACCCAATTAGTTCACAGAAACCTTCAAATATGCTAGCCGTATTTGTTTTGGTCTATATGTGACAAGTCCTACTCAAAAGTAACAAAGTGATTGATTACTAAATGCCCTCTGCGTTTAATGAGCAAGCCACTCAGTGGAATCAAAATTCTAAAAGACAGTCCACCCTTTCATTATCAAGGCAATAAGGCACTAGCAATAAACATTACACATAAACATAACCAATAATCACATCCCAGTAATGAACATTTTAAAATAAAATTATGTTTAGAAATTTAAAAAATATTAAATTAATTCAAGATAGAGTCTTACCAAAGGACTTCTAAAATATCAAATAGTTACAAGGAATGTTGATGAGTGAGGGTAGTTTATAGATGTGATTTGTGTGACAAATTAAGACAGATACACGCAGATAGTTTCCAAAAGCAATATTTCTTCAACCCAACAGGAAACATGGGATCTTCAAATTAATTTGAACAAAACAGAAATAGAGATTGCTGTCACTGGCAGGCAGGTCGGTAACCAGAGTACACACTTGAAGCTAATAGGCAAAGCAGCCAGACAGCAGATGAGTTTTTTTTTTATGAAATGAGTGATTATGACCTTGACCGCAGTGGCTGAAAGTAAATGCAAAAGTAATTTGCAAAGGGAAACTGGATATGTAGCAACTTGTATTTATATAGCTCTTATGATTTAGTTAAAAGATCGAAAGATCTTCAAAGTAGCAGCTATCAAACATAGAGAGCTTTATATAGCGATGTTTGATGGTTTGGTTGAAGATGATGATTTGAACAAATAATTTACAGAAAGAGATAAAGGCAGAGACACTTAGGGAGGAATTCCACAACTTAGCACCCAGAAACTGAAGTCATGTCTACCAATCTTAAAGAAATGCATAACAGACCAGGGTTGGAGAAGCAGATATCTTGGCGAGTTATCAGCTACTGTAGTTAAAGATATAAGGATGGGCAGGAATATGAAGGGCTTTGAAAATAACAATGACAATTTTAAAATTGAAGCATTGCACACCATCAATCGATTTAGTCAGCATGCACAGGATGGTATAGAAACAGACCTTACTGTGAGTTAGGATACAGGCAGCAGAGTTTTGAAGAAACTCAAATTTATGCAGGGTGCGAGGTGGGAGATTGGCCAGGAGTGGATGATACACCTCCACCTGAGGTCCTGAACTTTACAGATGTTAGTTTTCAGCCAACTTGATTCACTCCACATGATACCATGAAAAGACTGAACGCACTGAACATTGCAAAAGGCTACAGGCCCTGACAATAACATTGACAAATTATACTTCAGAACAATCCACATGCTGATCCAAGCTGTTCCATTACAGGTGCAACACTGGCATCTACCGACAATGTGAAAAGTTGTTCATGTATGCCTTGTCACAAAAAGTAAGACAAGTTCAACATAGCCAAGTACCTCCCTATCAGTCTACTCTTGATCATCATCAAAGCAATGGAAAGGGTCATCAACAGTACTAAGTGGCATTTGCTCAATCATAACCTCACTGACACTCAGTTTGGGTTCTGCCAGCGATTAGAAAGACTAAATATATTCTGTGCATTGTAAAAAGAAGAATAAAACGAAAGCCATATTTATTGTTTGGTCAGTCATCATTTAAGCATTGCATGCAATTTTAGTTGGCTCATCCTGGCAAGGGTATACTGGCCTTATAAAAGTCCAGTGATTACTAGCCACAACAATATCTATGCTAAACTATCATGAGACTGGACTAAACTGGTTTACCTGGAATTAAGGAACTTAAGGGTTCCTCTGACCAAAATGTTTGAAGTATGAAGAAAACTAATTTGATATACATATCTCTGGTAAGGGAATTCAGAACAAAATATCAACAATGTTAATAAGAAGTCAATCGCGAATCAAAGAATAACTACTTTGCAAAAAAAAGGATTGTGACAATTTGAACAAATGCTATCATTCAAAACTAATAGAAAGTATTTGAAGAGTTACATTTGTATACAAAAAAAAATGGGCTAAATGGCCTTATTTCTTTTCACACTACATCCCTAAGTTAGGGCAAATAAAATCAACCTGTGTTCCCACTTAGTTCTCTCCCTAACAACATTTGATGATGAAGAGTCACTGGACTGGAAACATTAATTTGTTTTTCTCTCCACAGATGCTGCCAGACCTGCTGAGTTTCTCCAGCAATTTCTGCATTTGTTTCAGATCTCCAGCATCTGCAGTTTACTGTTTTATTTACATTTGATGGTAAGTACATTGTTGCAGTTGTAGGGACAGGACAGAGAATAAGTTAGTTGTGATGTTCCCTTTTAATCAATTAACCTGCTATAACTCGATTTGGACCCCACATGAACACCATTAAACTTGACTCCAGCTGAAGGCCAATTGGCTCCTGTGGAATTTTACAGTACCAAGCACTTGACAGAAGTGAAATAATTGTTTCAGTTGCAATATGAATTAAGCTTAAAAACTTTCTCACCTAACTTTGGAACGATGTTTTTCAGCATGAAGGCTTCCCAGGATCCTGGTGTGAACACATTTTTCCACGGCAAAAGGATCAATTTTGCAGACGAGTCACTGGGATGCCATTTCTGTAATGCATTGGAAAGCTTATTCCGGATCGGTGAATACAGAGGCTCCAGGCGCATCTGCATCAATGGAAGCCAGGGATGTATCCAGGCATGGATTGGGACTGTGTCAGTCAGTGGGTTCCAGTTCTCAACCTAAAAAATGAAGTTTGTGTTGAAGAAATTACACAAATTCTTGAGTTTCTCCTTTTCATGATGGCTGTGCAAGAGCTCTTCCAATGGTCATTAGACTAATTGTTTTGCAATATCCAGTATGTTCTTCCACCCCTTTTTCTACTGGTTTCCTGACAAAGCTGGTCCTTGAAACAAGGCCACTTTTTTGACAACTTGCTTATCAAGATGAAGCCTCTTTCACATTGCACTGCTCTATTTCTCTTTTTGACTTTTCCTACCCTGTTTCTCCTTTCTTCCCATCTGCTCTGTTTTCCTTCTATTTTTCTTACTTAAATTTTGATTCCTTCATTTTGGATGTTTCAGACCTTTCGATTGCTTTCTATTCCACGTTGATTCCTATTCGTTTTCTTTTTCTTCTTTATTTTTTGCAATTTCTTCTTTGCTAAACTCAATGAGCACTTTGAAAGTTAAAAGTCCCAATGCAAAGGTGCCTTGTAATATTAATAAGATGCTATATGCCAGCTTTTATGTCCTGCTGATTCCCAGAACTTATCAGACCAAGCGACTCTCACCTATCTCAAACTGTAACAAGAGGCTTTCTGCTCCTATGATGCTGCTTGGCCTGCTGTGTTCATCCAGCCCTGCACCTTGTTGTAACAAGAGGCTCCTACCTCACGCTGCAACTTGGGAAAAATCAGTTGCTCAAGAATATTGTCCAATATCCAGAGAGGCACTGCAGGCATCCAGTTCTCCAAGAAATCCACCATTGGAGCACAATTCCGGGGCAGCCACTGGGATACAACATTGCGGACACATGGCATCCAGACTTCCCACATTAATCTGTGAATGTGCATAGAAATAAAAGTAGGAACTTGGAAATGTTCATTCAGCCCAAATACTATATTTTCCAAAGCACTATGCCAAATCATTTGGTGGTACAGAACATATTGTAGAAAGTAGACACATTTTATCGAAGCATTTGTCAATGAGTGCCATTTTCCTTCCCACCGTTTCACATTCTTCTTTCTCTGACACACAGCAACATACATTTACATACTATACCCTTCATTTAATGAAACATCTCAAGGATGTTTTGCAAGAGTTATTAAACAAAATCAGCCATCGAGCCACATAAGGAGATATCTAACCTTTTTGTGATGAAAGCTGTTTTAATCTTGTGTAAAAGAAAGGAACAATTTGAATATTTCTGAAAAGTGGGCATGTTGTTGAAGCTTTTTATCTTGCACTCATCTGGGCAAACACAAGAATGTTAAATTTCAAACAAGAACAATAATTTATACTACCGGGGAAAGGGTATTGAAGATAGTTTCAAGCATACAACTCGCTTTTCAACAATATTCACAGACATAATTCTGGTTTTATGTTGAACAATCTTGAAACAACCTCAATGCAATGGAAGATTGAGTTCACAGAGAACAGTCCTGATGACTTATCAAGTTTTAAGTACTGCCAGTCTTCCTAATTGCGACTGTTCATGGATTTATAGCTTGTCCAGTGTCTCAACACTGCACTGCAGAAATTCACCAAAGATCCACCTTCCATACCCACAACCACTTCCATCTAAAAGGACAGGGGCATCAGACATATGGGAACATCACCCCCTCCAAATTCCTCTCCAAGCCACTCACCATCCTGACTTGGAAATATAATCGCCATTCCTTCACTGTCGCTGGGTCAAAATCCTGGGAATCCCTCCCTAATAGCATTGCGGGTCAACCTACAGCAGTGGACTGCAGCAGTTCAAAAAGGCAGCTCACCACCACCTTCCCAACAGCAACTAGGAACAAGCAATAAATGCTGGCCAGCCAGCAATGCCCACATCCCACAAATGAATAGACAAAAAAAAAAAAAAATCTCTTCAGCAGGATCTTTTTCTTTGGCAGAGTGGATGCAAAGCAATCATAAACTAATACCTCAGACTTCTGCTTCCGTACCCGAATCTCCTTTTTTGATCCCTAATCAATCCTATACTTTCTTTTACTGCCCTTTTATAATTTACAAACCGAGAGAAGATTTTTGGATTCCCTCTTTGCTGCACTTATTTCTTTTTACACTTCCTCTCAGAACTCTGATGGCATGGTGGCACAGTGGCACAGTGGTTAGCACTGATGCCTCACAGTGCCAAAGCCTGGGTTTGATTCCAGCTTTGGGTGACTGTCTGTGCGGAGTTTACACATTCTCTCCATGTCTGCGTGGGTTTCCTCCGGGTGCTCTGGTTTCCTCCCACAGTCCAAAAGATGTGCAGGCTAGCTGGATTAGCCACGGGAAATGTAGGGTTACAGGGTCTGGGTGGGATGCTTTTTGGAGGGTCAGTGTGGACTTGATGGACTGAATGGTCTGCTTCCATACTGTAGGGATTCTAACTTTAGGACTTTAACTCAGTAACGTAATGCTACCTCTAACATTTCTTAGTTCTGATCAAACAGATTTTATTCTTGATTCTTCTAGTGCATTCTCTGCCTCTGGTAATGTAATATTAAGGACTCCTGCCTCTGTATATGTTGAGATCCAAACTTTAACCAAATTGTTGGTCATCTAAGCAACAACTGGTATCTAGAACAAAGAAAATTACAGCACAGGAACAGGCCCTTCGGCCCTCCAGCCCTCCAAGCCTGTGCCGATCCAGATCCTCTATCTAAACCTGTCGCCTATTTTCCAAGTATCTGTATCCCTCTGCTCCCTGCTCATTCATGTATCTGTCTAGCTACATCTTAAATGACGCTAACGTGCCTGCCTCTACCACCTCCGCTGGCAACGCGTTCCAGGCACCCACCACCCTCTGCGTAAAAGAACTTTCCACGCATATCTCCCTTAAACTTTTCCCCTCTCACCTTGAAATCGTGACCCCTAGTAATTGAGTCCCCCACTCTGGGAAAAAGCTTCTTGCTATCCACCCTGTCTATACCTCTCATGATTTTGTAGACCTCAATCAGGACCCCCTTCAACCTCCGTCTTTCTAATGTAAATAATCCTAATCTACTCAACCTCTCTTCATCGCTAGCGCCCTCCCTACCAGGCAACATCCTGGTGAACCTCCTCTGCACCCTCTCCAAAGCATCCACATCCTTTTGGTAATGTGGCGACCAGAACTGTACGCAGTATTCCAAATGTGGTCGAACCAAAGTCCTATATAACTACTGTAACATGACCTGCCAACTCTTATACTCAATACCCCGTCCGAGGAACGAAAGCATGCTGTATCCCTTCTTGACCACTCTATCCACCTGCGTTGCCACGTTCAGGGTACAATATCTGGCAGTTAACCTTCAAGCTGAAGTCAAAAGGTGTGCCTTCAATTGCTTAATATTTAAGTTTACAGGTTTGCAAGCTATTTCATTACATTTTAAATGGCTGTACCAGCAAGGAAGCTTTGATTCAGGAACAGTCCAGCTTATTACTGGGAGCATTGACAGGCATGGAACAAGACATAATTTAACAAAAAAAAAACAGACTATAAAGCTCATTCTCATGACTCCTTAACTGATATCCGATCGGGGTCTACTTTTATATTAAAAGAAAGGTCACACAATAATATACAAATCCTCCAGTGTCATTTAGATTCATGCTTTGCTTTGCCTGAGCCACAAGCAGCTAAAAAAAGGTTCATTACAATCATCTTCCATTTAACATCCAGAAAGGACTCAGACAAAACCACTGAACAGGGATACAACAGTTTTAAATTGGTTCATGTCTTTAAATAATTTGAAATGATGGTAAAAGTACTTATGTCTTTCTCATTCTGTGTATCACAATGTAAGCGAATCTGTTAAATTTATCCTGAATATAATAATCTGACACATGCTATTTATTGCTTTTCAGAGTAAACAGGAAAATAGGCAAGTGTTTGTTCTACAGTACTTTATTCACAGACAATGCCTCAGTTTCTGTTTGCTGAACTCAGCTTATGTAAACTGTCTTTTTGATGTGAAAAAAAGTTAAAAGCATTGAGCTAAGTGCCATATCATAATCAAAAACAGAAATTGCTGCAGAAACTCAGCAGGTCTGGAAGCGTGTGTGGAGAGAAAGCAGAGTCAGCATTTTGGGTTCATTTCTTGAGACCTGGGTCACTGGACCCAAAGCATGAACTCTGATTTCCCTCCACAGATACTGCCAAACCGGATGGGTTCATCCAGCAATTTCTGTTTTTGTTTCAGATCTCCAGTAAAACACAGTTCTTTGTGTTTTGCCAAATCATAATATTGTGCTAAAGAATGGCTTCTCTAATACCTTTTCAAACCACTATTCAATGTGTTTGCCTACTATAGCTAAGTTATTTGAATTTAATGGGATCACAGTGAAGCCCCAACCTGTTCTTACCTGAAGGAATTTTCAGCACATCTTTACAAGAGTAGGAGTCACAGCTGCTTTTAGTTTTAGTTCCTTGGCTCTGGAACATTGAAACCAATTGCAACAGCCTAACTAAGCATAGAGCAGGCAATCAAATCAGAAACATTCAAATGTGCTAACTTGAGGAACCATTATCCTTCTGATTCTTATTTCACAAGTGTCTTCAATTACTGAAAAGTTTGAGAAGTTTGGTCCATCTTCACCGCCGAGACATCTGTCGGTATTTCTAATTGTCAAAGTAAAATTTGAAATTATTCATTTTACCTGTGGTAAGGGTCCAATGACAACATATCACATCCTCCATGTTGCAGCTGATCTCGTTCTAGAAGTTTCCTCCATTTTGACATGACCTCTAAACCATATGTGTTATCCTAAATGAAGAAAAGTAGTAAGGCTGATTAATTCTCCTTCTTCCCATACTGTACCCAGTGCACCATTTTGAGAGATGGACCTTTCTCCTATTTTCTACCATTGCCATTTCAAAAGAATCCCATGCATTCAGGTACAGTACGATGCATTCCCTTCTTACTAGGACAAAAACAAAGTTGCTGGAAAAGCTCAGCAGGTCTGGCAGCATCTGTGAAGGAGAAAACAGAGTTAACGTTTTGGGTCCAGTGACCTTTCCTCAGAACTGATGGTGGATGGGAAAACGTCAGTTTATATGCAGAAAATAGGAAGGTGGGTGGATAGGGAGTAAACGATAGGATAGAGCCCGGAGAGAGAGAAAAACAGTTGGACAGACAAAGGAGTTGCTAACGATCAGGCTGGGAGGGTGAATAGTTGTTAACGGGGACTGCTAGTGACTAACAACAGCGGGTGTATAATGGCAGGCTATGTGGTAACAAAGCCTGGTGTGTGGGGTGGGGGGCTGGGACATGGGAGAGTTTAGGCCCTAAAATTATTGAACTCAACATTGAGTCCGGAGGGTAGGGTGCCCAAGCGGAAAAATGAGGTGTTGTTCCTCCAGCTTGCGTTGGGCTTCACTGGAACACTGTAGCAAGCCAGAGACAGAGATGTTGGCCAGGGAGCAGGGTGGTGCACTGAAGTGGCAGGCAGCAGGTAGTTCAGGATCTTTTTTGCGAGTAGAACATAGATGTTCTGCAAAGCGGTCACCAAGTCTACACTTGGTAGCCCTTCCTACTAGAGTTCACTTCACTCGACAAAGGAGCAGTGCTTCGAAAGCTTGTAATTTCAATAAACTTGGTAGATCATAACCTGGTGTCATGTGACTTCTGACCTTACCAGTGTTCCAACCCCAAACCCTAGTAATAATTTTTAATGCATTACATTATCAAATGGTCAAGGAATGGAAAGGTATGGAACAGAATTTAACATATTCTGTCTGACATTCAATGTTCATGAATGCACTGGATCGTGTATGGATGCACAGACAATGGCATTCCTGTTCACTCATTTAGCTGATCTTTTTCTTAATAAATGTGTGAACCTTGGCAGTTAATGTTGTCAGGTTTTCCAGCTATGGACTCTGTCCTTATTCAACATCAATGTGTATACAACTTCCACCAAGAGATCCCGGATAGTCAGACATGTGATTCATTTCCCTCTTTTACTATCCAATAGGCACCAAGGCCTCAACCAATGACACAGAATAATGGGGACTACAATTACTCACATTCGCAGGGGTAGATCTTACCTGCAAAGGATTCCATGTCTTAAAGAATTCTTTCAGCAGTGGAAATACAATAGCAATGGAGAGTTCTGCTAAGTCAAACATCTTGTACTCCTCCAAATACTTCTCCTGCAGCATTTCAAAAATTTTTGCACACTCCTCCAGGGTCAGTGGATTTTCACAGTTGGGCTGTAGTCTCTTCTCGCAGTCCTCTACAATCTGCAAGATATTGCTGAGCTTGTCGATGATCTTATCCTCATGGGCAAGGATTTCAGACAGCTTCTCATTCTCATGGGAGAGATTAACAACCATGTCCCTCTCATACTGCAGCTGACGGTCATTCTGGATGATCTCCTGCTCAGTCATTTCAATGAGCAGTTGCAGATTGTGTTCCAGCTCTGGAAGAGAAAAGCCCTCTGACTTTGCATCTTTAACTGGAGACTGTGTGTCATCAGGAATATCATGCTTCTGGTTCATCTGGCTGTAACTGTAATAGACTTTCTGTTCTTTTCCTGTCATGTCTATAACCTACATGATAAATTAAGCAGTTAGATTTTCACAATGGCTCAATGTCAATCAATCAGTCATTGAACAACTCATTTGGAAATTAATTTTCAACCTCATTAAACACACAATTTCTGATGCAACTATATAGAATTTGGTAGATGTTGTCCACTGCTAATCGTTTTAGTTTTTTTCTCTGATAACATGGAAACATTGGACAGAATCTCCTGAGGAGTATCAACGACAATTGGATTTCCAGTCCATTCCTTTCTCTTCTCTCTGCCCCATAGCTGTTTCAGGCCAAATGTCAGATTTGAGCCTCTTCAGGAACTTGGAGTGTCCTGGATATAGGACTCTTCCAGCACAGTGCATTCTGAGATTTAAAGCCTCAAAGCCTCTTTGATTAGCTACAGAGAGAAGTCAAGTGTGGAAGGTAAGTGGATGAGGGGATAAGGTGATAGGCGAGCAAGTGGAGTGGTAAGGTGGCCAGTAAAATAGCAGTTATTAGGGGTGGGTGGGCTGGGTTAGTTCGGGTTTAGGGCTATCGGTTTGGGGGTTGTCAGATCAGGTCATATGGTGAGGGTGGCGGGGGGGGGGGGGGTGGTGGTGTCCGTTTTATAGTTGTCATAGAGTTACAGCAAGTGTCAATATCTCTAACTTTTCTTCAATGGTTATTACAGTAAGTTCTGAAATGTCCAAAGTTTGCAGCTCTAATTCAGAGTTGGGGACCTTTATAGAAAATCCCAAGTGCACAGTTTATACCATTGGAAATTTCAATTCCCAGATAGTTTTGTGTGGGGATATCCAAGTGGTCCCTTAGTGCATCCTCCAAGGTACATTGCTGCAATGATTATCTTTCAGAGGATCAGGACCAGGACCAGGACCAGGACCAGATTGGTTGATGGAGTGTTTGCCACTATTCACGGGTTTTAGGTGCTCAGAGAAATAGCAGCAGGTATTATTGACAGAGTGATACTCTGGAAGAATTCATACACTAAGCCCTAATGAAAACCTTTGGAAAAGATAATGAAAAAGGGTGATGATGTATGACACTTTCATAGGAATCCAGACCATGGCACACAATTTGCATGTTAGCATACGCAAAACATTTGCCTTAACATTACCACCAACATACAGTAGGTCAATGAGAGGGATCTGAGATTTTCCAATTTTCCCTAGCGCGCATCTTGCTAAGGGACAAATGGACAAACACAGGAGGAACTTTCCTGTAACAAGAGGCAGCTTACAAATACAACAAAGATGCAGAAGGGTTACAATAACACCATCTCTGTTCTATTTTCCAGCCTTTAGACTAATTGCAAATGCAGTATTCATTGCTATTCAAACAAAGAGACAAACAGGGTTTCTGGCCACGCAGCAGTTTTGGAACAAAGTTCCAAGGGCCATAAAGACGATATGTATAGCAATGTTCCTTTTTCAAAGTTTTATTTCCAATTGGCATGTAGACTATCATAAGCCTTTGTGCAGTTGTTCTATCTCCCCCAAACATCATCACTGGCAACAATTTATTTTTCAATGTTTGTATGAGACAGATGACCAGTGCCAGGAAAGTAAGGCTTGATGCCAGCTGCTATCTGCCAACACCTACAAACCTACATCCGTAGACAGAGGCCTCAGCTCTGAAAGTGGGCTCGGGCAACAGGCATGGTGGCACTCAATGGGAAGGTATAACTAATCATTATGCTGGAGAACTATTCAGGGTATATGGTGCTTTATAAGACATGAAAAGGGCATTGCAGGATGATCAATCAGATAAGCCCAATAGTCCAACCCTAAAAACCACCAGGCATATTAGTATTCACTGTTGTACTTAGTTGATAACAATTGTGGGAAACTGTTTTTGTAATTTCTAGTAAAGCTGAAAAACTATGCAGAAATATGCTATCTGCTGCAAAGACATCTGCTATTTACAAATATCACTACTGGCACAGCGGGATTCTATGATTCTATGAAGTGTAATGACTTTAATGTCTAGTTTAGAGGAAGTTTGTGGATTCACAGACCAGAGGGGAAACACAGCTTTTTATCTTTAAATATGTTTGACACTTTGGAATATAATGTCAGGGTTGTGATGGATGTCGTCATTTTTATCTTGATGGGAAGGCCAATAGATCTCTTGTGACATTACTGACAATATCAAAAAAGATACTTTGGTGTGAAAAGAGGCTGCAGTGTACAGGTAGAAGGCTTCACATCTACGCTGGAACAATTTGGAACATGTTTAAGAAACCTCCAAAGAGTTCAGTAAATGCATGTTTTTTTGATGGAAGGCCTGAAAAACAAATACATTTTCTCTACCCACTGTGAAATGATCATTTTTCCCCCTTATTGTTATTCAGATGACTTCCAATATTCTTTATTCACGTCCCCTAAAAAAGTAAGACTTCATGGGTAAACACAATTTTTCTACTGATCTCATGCAAAGTATCTGAGCCAGCAAGTCACAGGTTCAACAGTGAATGCTTAAATCAACATGCAGCTTGGCAGAACAGGTACAGTAAGGGGCAGATTGGAAAACAAAAAAAATTTCCTCCCGAAACGTTTGGCACAAAATGTCACTTAAAAGTTACTAGGCATGGGTTGATAAATCTGCCAAAATATTGACATTTTCTAAACCAGCAGTTTTAGTCTTACCATTTAATTCACATGATATGATCATTTTGTTTGTGTAATGATTACCCATTCTGTCCCGTATTTAACAAGAGCTGCTTGAAACAACTAGAATTAATGGGTTCAAAATTGTGTATGGAAATGTTGAAATACTTAAGAGGAGGAGAAAGCCTACTCCCACGCACCTTGACTTGTGAGAGCTCTGTCTGTGGTGTAGCCATTTTCTTGCCCAGGGCGGATGCTCCTTTCGCTTTAAGCTCTTCAACAGTTTTGAAGGTGTACTTGGGCTTTTTCTTCCCACCTGCAGGATCTTTCCGCCACTGGCTCATCTCCTTCTGAAACTCCTGAACACAAATAGTTAATCAGTCACTCCATACTGACTGTTCTTCATTATTGGCAAATTATGAAATTTGCCTTCAATTGTCTTCAACCTCAGATATCCATTCCTGTGTATCGCAACTCAATGAATTCTTTCTGGAAATGAGATACTAAGCAGTTGCTCAATGTGCCATGAGGCAGCGACTCAAACTGGGGAAGGTGGTGAGGTGTGGAGATGGGTTGATATGTTATCCCAACACTGACAGAAGCCTAAGTGCAGGTTATCAGCTGTGCACAAATTGGCCACTGCATTTCCTACATTGCAACAGCAACTACTATTTAAAGGTACCACATTGGCTATAAAGTCCTTTGTACCTCCTAAAGTCATAAAAAGCATTATATAAATGTACTTTTTTCCTGCCAAAGAAAAAAAAAGTGACTTCCACCACCCCCAATAACCCAACCTCCAAACAAACAATACAAGCCTTGAAACTCAGTAGTGCATAATCCTTTATGAAAGAAGATGTGTGAATTTTGCAGGAAAATTAAAGAGATAACACAATTCCTCTCATTTACAATTCTGACTGCAACTGTTCACCTTTCAACAAGTAGTCAAACTATGGCGGTTGTAAGCAGGTATGAATGTTGTTTCATAGTCAGATCTCAAGACATGAGCATTTAAAGGAAATGGATTGCTCCAACTATTTTCATCCAATCTACTAGTTAGTTACTTGCCTGAGAAGTGGGACACATGCCAGTCCAGCTGAAAACATGGAGTATTACTGCAGCGCACTATTCACCATCTTCCACATCCTACACTCAAACCCCTGAAAAACTCTGCTGCAATACCTTTACCAATACCAGCCGTTTTACCCACCACGTAACTATTCACTGATCTGCACTGGCTCCCAGTTACAAAAGCCGATTTTAAAATTTTTAACCTTATTTTCAAATCCCTCCGTGGCTTTTGTCTTCTCCAATCTTTATAATTGCCTCCAGTTCCAGAAACCTGAGTTCCTCTAGTCCTGCCCTCTTGAGTATTCTTGATTTTAGTTGCTCCAATATTGGTAACTTCAACTATCAACGTCCTCGAATTCCTCATCTATTCTTTCCACCTCTCTTTCCTTTGTTAAGATGCTTCTCATTTCCTACTACTTCCAGTATTTGGTCATCTTCGTTTATATATTCTAAAGTAGCCCCTGAGTGTCAAATGCTGAATTACAGTAGCACCTTAACACATTTTATTACATTAAAGACACTATGTAAATACAAGTTGTTATTGATGTGCTGCAATCTATTACTGTACTCCCTTTACTCACTGGTATACCAGTAAACACACAAACCAAAAAAAGTTGATTCTCAGGTAAAGTAGGGCGACATGGCTGCCGCACAGCGCCAGGGACCCAGGTTCGATTCCAGCCTCTGGTGACTGTCTGTGTGGAGTTTGCACATTCTCCCTGTGTCTGCATGGGTTTTCTCCGCGTGCTCCAGTTTCCTCCCACAATCCAAAGATGTGCAGGTTAGGTGGATTGGTCATGCTAAATTGCCCCATAGTATCCAGGGATGTGTAGGCTAGGTGGATTAACCTTGGAAAAAATGCACGGTTACAGGGATAGGGTAGGGGAAGTGTGGACCTGATGGGCCAAATGGCTTCCTTCCACACTGTAGGGATTCTATGATTTTGAGAAGCACCTACAACTGGTCCTTAGTGCTTCTGGGCTAAATCTGGGGTAGGGATCAGATGAGGGTTAGCACACGGGAGAGAAATCTTATTCTAATTACTTTCCACTGACCTGTGTTCAGAAATGCATGCTTTTGAATACAGATAGAGCAGGATTGAAATAAACATAGAATCACAGATCCCTACAGTGTGGAAGCAGGCCATTTGGTCCATGTCCAAACCAACCCTCTGAACAGCATCCCACCCAGACTCACCCATTACCCTTTCCCTGTAACCATGCATTCCCCATGGCTAATCCACCTAACCCACACATCCCTGGACACTATGGGCAATTTAGCATGGCCAATCCACTTAATGTGCACGTCTTTGGACTGTGCGAGGAAACTGGAGCACCCAGAGGAAACCCACGTAGACACAGTGAGAATGTGTAAACTCTACACAGACAGTCAACCAAGGGTGGAATCAAACCCAGGTTCCTGGTGCTGTCAGGCAGCAGTGCTAACCACTGAGCCACCGTGCCATCCCCAACACCTAGAATAGTTCCTTCAAAGAAGGGTAAGAAAGAGAAAAGGGTGGGTTGATGTATTTTTACAAAAACTAGTACAAAAGGCCAAACGTTACGTTGCTACAAACCTCTTCTGCTTCTTCATCGGAGTCAACAATAGGAAAATCCTTCAGTGACTGCTCTGTTCGTTCAGACCCATAAGCACCAATTGCTCCTTTCCCCTTCCTCATCTTTGCCTCAATGGGTGCCACAATTCCTGCAGCATAAAAGAAATAATGTTACTGATGGCATAACCACTCACCACTTAAATTCACAAAATGGACAAAAGATGGAATTGGATGGCTTGGAGCTGAAGACGCTGTCAGTGGGGGAGCACTTTGGGACTAGTGATCATAATTCTATTAGATTTAACATAGTTACGGAATAGCATAGAACTGAGCAAAAAGTTAAAGTTCTAAATTGGAGTAAGGCCAATTTTGATGGTATTAGACAGGGACTTACAAAAGTTGATTGGGGGAGACTATTCACAGGTAGAGGGATGGTTGGGAAGTGGGAGGCCTTTAAGAACGAGATAATGAAAGTTCAGAGACAATATGTTCCTGTTAGTGTGAAGAGCAAGAACACTAGATGTAAGGAATGTTAGATGAATAGAGAAACTGAGGCTCTTGTCAAGAAAAAGGCGGCAGTAAACATCAGGTATAGACACAGCTGGGATTAAGTGAATCCCTAGAAGAGATGAAGGCAGTAGGAGTATTTTTAAGAGGGAAATCAGATGGGCAAAAAGGGAACAGGAGATGGCTTTGGCGAACAGAGTTAAGGAAAATCCAAAGAGATTCTATAAATACATCAAGGTCAAAAGAGTAACTAGGGAGCGAATCAAGGCCCTTAAAGATCAAGTGGCCGTCTATGTGTGGAACCACAGGTGATGGCTGAGATACTAAATGAATATTTTGCATCAGACTTTACTGTGGAGAAGGACATGGAAGCTAGGGAACTTGAGAAAATAAACAGTGATATCTTGAAAAGAATTCATATTACAGGAGGAGGGGTGCTGGAGGTCTTAAAATGCTTAAAGGTAGATAAACCTCTGGGACCTGATCAGGTTGCTCCCAGAACGTTATGGGAACCTAGGGAAGAGACTGCTGGGCCCCTTGCTGAGATATTTGTATCACCAATAAGCATGGGTGAAATGCCAGAAGACTGGATGTTGGCTAACATGGTGCCATTATTTAAGAAAGGTGGTAAGGAAAAACCGGGAAACTATTGGCTGGTGAGCCTTACAGCAATGGTGGGTAAGTTGTTGGAGGGGATGCTGAGAGACAGGATTTACATGTATTTGGAAAGGCCACAACTGATTAGGGATAGTCAACTTGGCTTTGTGCACGGGAAATCATGTCTCACTAACTTGATTGAGTTTTTTGAAGAGGTGACAAAGAAGATTGATGAAGGCAGAGTGGTAGAATTTGTCTATATAGATTTCAGCAAAGCGATCAACAAGGTTCTGCATGGTAGACTAGCCAGTAAAGTTAGGTTGTATAGGATCTGGAGAAGCTAGCGAATTGGATACAAAATTGGCTTGAAGGTAGGAGACAGAGGGTGGTAATGGAGGGTTTTTTTTTGGTCTGGAGGCCTGTGACCAGCAGTGTGTTGCAAGGATCAGTGCTGGGTCCACTGCTTTTTGTCATTCATATAAATGATTTGGATGTGAATATAGGAGGTATGGTTAGTAAGTTTGCAGATGACACCAAAATAGCTGGTGCAGTGGACCATGAAGAAGATTATCTCCGAGTACAATGGGATCTTTTTCAGATGGAGTTTAGATAAATGTGAGGTGTTACATTTTGGTAAGGCAAATCAGGGCAGGACGTGTACAGTTAATGGTAGGGCACTGGGGAGTGTTGCCGACCCAAGAGATCCAAGGATGCAGGTGCATAGTTCCTTCAAAGTGGAGTTGCAGATAGACAGGGTGATGAAGGTGGCATCTGGCACGCTTGCCTTCATTGGTCGTAACATTGAGTGTAGGAGTTGGGAAGTCATGTTGTGGCATTGGTGAGGCCACTTTTGAACTACTGATACAATTCTGGTCACCCTTCTACAGGAAGGATGTTGTTAAACTTGAGAGGGTGCAGAAAAGATTTACAAGGATGTCACAAGGAATGGAGAGTTTGAGTTATAGAGAGAAGGGCTGAGTAGGCTTGGGCTTTTTACACTGGAGCATCAGAGGCTGATGGGTGACCTTATAGAAGTTAATAAAATCATGTGGGGAATGGACAGGGTGAATAGCTAAGGATCTTTTTCCTAGGGTGGAGGAATCTAAAACTAGAGGACATAGGTTTAGCGTGAGAGGGGAAAGATTTAAAAAGGATTGGAGGGGTAACTGTTTCACACAGAGGCTGATGAGAGCGTGGAACAAGCCGCCAGAGGAAGTGGAGGACACGGGTACAATTACATTTAAAAGGCATCTGGATGGGTATACAACTAGGAAGGGTTTAGAGGGGTATGGGCCAAATGCAGGCAATTGGGACTGGGTCAGATTGGGAAGTCTGGTCGGCACGTTTGAGTTGGACTGAAGGGTCTGTTTCCATGCTGTATGACTCTATGAAGAAACTACAGAAATGTTTTACTCAGGATGATCATTTGTTTAGGTTCTTAGTGAAAGATGCCAGATGAAATTGAGTGTTGGGGAGAGATTGTGGTGTTTTCAGGGACAAACTAAATTTTTTTCCTCAAGAAATTAAATGAATGAAAGCTTAATAACTATTTCCCACTCCACTTGAGTAGCAGAACTGATCAGGACAACAGCACTTTTACATGAGACCTGTAGTGGTCTACAGGACAAGAACAGTTTTCACCAATGAACTCGTACTTTTTGAGAATGACTTACTTACAAAGAATTATTATTAGTAAGCTTTCCAAAAACTGTACCTTGTGCATTCTTCCCGAGACCTCTGCCAGGTACATAACCCATCTTCTGCAGCAACTTCTGTCCGATCCCTTTGGTGTGTTTTTCCCAGGTGCCAATTTCCTGGTTTGTTCGATGTCCTCCTGTGAATCCTTTTGAACTAGATTTGAAAAAGCCACCCTACAAGAAAAAAAATTAATAAGAAACTGAACATATCTGATCCATACCCAACGAAGCGTCAGTCAATCAAGATACAACATGTACTTATGGAGTGGTGAAAGGGGAAGAAGGAGAAGGACTGTTAGAAGTAGGGAAAAAAATACACATCTTAACAGAATCGGGAAGAAGCATACAAAGAATCCACGCAACTATGGTGAAGCAAGTACATTTGTTTTGCTCCTCGAAAGTACATATTGAACAACTGCAGTTTGGTAAATAGCTATTCAAACTGCCTAATTGTTTCACTAAGTAAGTTCCACAATTGTCAATAAAAACAAATAAAACAAAATGGTGTTACTATTTCTCTGATATACACAAACAACTGAAAATAGTTTGTAAAACTTCGTTTTCACAAAAATGTTTTAAACTTTATTGATTTTAGGAAAACAACCTCAAATACTATTATCACTTGTCTAAACATCGATAGTGATTTTGTGCAGACAGTAACGGTTGTTTTTGAACTTGTAATATAAATAAACAAGCACAGATTATCTAATAATTCAAATTTTCTCCAAACTGAAGTCAAAATTAAACAGTTAATGATTAAACCTGAAGCTTTCTAGGAAAGCAACATTGTGGGTCTACCTACAGCACATGGACTGGGGCAGTTCAAGAAAGCAGCTTACCACCACCTTCTCAAGAGCAACTAGGGATGGACAATAAATGCTGACCCAGCCAGCGACACCCATATCTCATGAATGAATGATTAATGAAAGAAACTATAACATTCTTGCCCATATGTAGTCACTCTTTGCATCTGTACAGTTCTGATATCCATATGGAAATTTCAGGACAAGGGAAATATAAATACCACTCACACATTGAGATTTTTCTTAAAATTCAAAATTTGATGTGAAATTTTCTTAGCCCGAGTACATTGTTTAAAAGTGTTTTTTTTTCTACAAATGTTAAGTTTTTTAAAAAATGGGATGTGGGCATCACTGACTGGCTGAGCATTTATTTCCCATCCCCCTTTGGCCTTGATAAAGTAGTGGTGAGCTGCTGCCTTGAACCACTAGTGTCCATTTGGTGCAGTTAGACCGAGTGGCTTGCTAGGCCATTTCCGAGGGCAGTTAAGAGTCAATGACATTGTTGTGGGCCTGGAGTCACATGAAGGGCAGACCAGGTAAAGATGCAATTTCCTTCCCAGAAAACAGGTTTTAACGACAATCAACAATGGCTTCATGGTTACCATTAAACTTATTTCAATTCCAGATTTTTACGGAATTCAATTTCCACCATCTGCCATGGTGGAATTCAAACCTGGGTCTTTAGAACGGTACGTGGGTCTCTGGATTACTGATTAGCCTAGTCAGTAGTGATGCCGTCACCTGTACCATCAAACTATTGCTGGCAGTATTACTAAATCTTCATGATTTCAGTTACATCTAATCCATCACTGCCATTATGTCTTTTGATCGCTTAAACTCAAGCACAGCTACCAAGTGTCAAGCCCAGACCTGGTCTGAATACGGTCATTTTTATTTTTATCCAGCATGCATGAATTAAATTACACTGCATGGAAAAAAAGTTGCAGCTCTATCATTAAAGGATTGAGGGGAAGCAACTGGGCAGTTAAGGGTCTCGATTCTGCAGGTGTCAAAGTAAAATAATCACAATGAAGAACAAGTTGACACCTCAACTGACACCACAACCTCCAGACAGGCTGCAAAAAATATTAAGCAGTCAGTTTCACTGGAGTTGCTAAGATCTTTCTACAGACGCAATAACCAAAACTGATCCAATAATTTAATAACTTCAATGTAAAGTTTAAGATCAACGTCTGCAGATTTGCAATTTACTCAGAGTGATTATCAGCTGTTTTTAAAGAAAACATTATCTGCACATTCAAAGTGACTAAATTCTTTTCTAAAAATGTGTTGTCAGATATGCCAGTTACAACAGAATTCTAGTTGGTAGAGTGCCTGATAACACAATTACTATACTTACAGTTTTCAATTTCTTTGGGGCAAATTCCTTTGGAAAATCTTCTCGCTTCACTTTCTCCTCTTCAGAATCATCAGAATCCTTCTCTTCATCATTTTCCTCAGCTGCAGGTCGTCGGATTCCAGCACTGATGAAATTTACTGGAGCACTGTAATCTTTAGAACTATAGAAACAGTGGAGATACAGTGACAACATTATTGAACAGCTGCTAACTGCAGGTCCTTAAATCCAATGTACAGTTGGCAAGCACACAAGATAACTAGGTTAGAAAATACACAGGGATCTGAACATAAATACTGATGAGGTACAAAAAACAACAACTGAACTTCTGATCAACTAGCTTTGCTTCAATTAAATCCATCCAGCAGGACTACAGATGATCATTACTGAACACATGCTGACCAGTGAACAGACAGCTCTAATTTCTCTATTCTAACAGGGCAATTTATTGCATTAGATAATAGTATCTAAAAACACAAGCTGAGATGGATGGACTGGAAGGATCTACAGTTCTTACTGGTGACAAACGTCACCATTCCCACTTGGTCTGTGCTCAAACCAACAGTCCATTGGCACAATTATTCCGTTAAAAACAAATCAGTACTGGATCAATTACAGTCCAGTAATAATCAGTGCCACGGAGTGGTAGAGCTCAACTCAGCACCCAAAATTCTCTACATGGCCAATGTTTGAGTTTGGCCAGAAAGAAAATTAGTGACTCTGAATTCCAAAAAAGACACTGGCAAAATATGTTAATTAAATCAGTTGGAGCCAAGTCAACCTCTCATAGCTGACATTTACAAAGTAGGATGAAAGAATGTCAGAAACACATCACATGGACAACATCTTAACCACAGAAATAGAACAAGAAATGGATAGGGGAATCCAAGAGGTAACAAAATAACTAATCAGATGAGAAATTAAAGAATATGCGCCTACTTTGGCCCTAGATCTGCCCCAGGACAGGCACAATTGCAATAATCATGCCAACCTCCACTGTCTAGGATCAAACATGTAGAAGCAGCCACTTAATCAAGTTAGCAAAAGCTGATGGTGCTCATCAAACAACAGCCAGGAATACTCAGTTGCTTCAAGTCTGGGAGGCAAGGAGAAGAAATAAATTGTCAAATCTCATAATTTGGTGACAAATAAATGGTTGAAACCAGTGTGTATAATGTTCTAGATTACCGTTTTCCCCCAAAGCTTGGCCTTTCGTCATCAGAGTCATTCTCAGCCCACATGCCATAGATAGCATCCTCTTTTGTCTGCCGATGGCGTACGCGGTCTGGGTTGAACTCATTTTCCAAATCCCAATCTGAAATCTCGAACCGCTCCATCTCCACCTCGTCGTCATCCTGGTCTTTCCCGTAAAGATGTGACATTGACATTTTCACCTACCAGATTAAAAAAAGAAGAATTGGACATCCATAAACGTGGTGGTAATTGTGCTCTATCACAAAAACACAACTATGTTAAAATCACCCGACTCCAGCTCAAATTTCCCTTTTGCTGTGAAGTTTAAACCCAGACAACAATCACATTTTTGGTGCTCAAAAATATGGCTCAATATTTGTTTAAAAATGTACATCATGAATGGTTGGAATCTGAATGAAACTTATTACTAGAAAAACAATACTGAATCAGCAACTGAGGCAGACAGCCAAGTCAATAACGTGGGTGCTGAGGGAGAGTTTCATCCAAGATGTTGTCCTTTCTACTCTAAATGCCAATCAACTAATTTCTTCAATTTCCTGATATTTATTAAGTTTTGCTGATTCTTTTTAATCACAGGTATCACGAAAAACATCCCCTTGGCCATGGATCGGCCGATTATGAGACAATATTCAGTGATGAATTAAATGAAATTTCACTCCCAGTTATATTTCGTAACCAACTTGCCAGAAATACCCAGAGAAAAGGATAAAGGGACTTATGAACAGTCAGGATATTAAACGAGAGTGTGCAAGCTATAGGCCTGGAGTTGCAAGTAGCTTAGAAAAAAGGCAATGTCAAAAACAAACTACCCAAACCACAGAACAGAAAGGGCATGTGGTTTATTACTTTCTCATATTCTTGAGGGAGAAAATTGAGGTAAATGTAATTTGTTTTGACAGTTCTTCATATATTCACTTGTCAAGTGAAATACACTGTTAATAATTGGCAACTGGCCTTACCCCACCAAGTTTCAAACTGCTTTCAAAAAGGTTGCAGATGGTAGATCTGAGAGAGAAAGATAATATAAAATTCTGATCCCATGAGACAAAAGTTTTAGTTTTTTTTTAATTCATTCATGGGATGGTGGGATTGCTGACCAAGCCACTGTTTATTGTCCATCTTTAATTGTCCTTGAGAAAGCAATGAGGAGCTGCCTTCTTGACCTGCTGCATGTCTTCAGTATTAGTTACTTTTAAGCAAACAGTCCAAGGCACTAGCTGATGCATCAATCTTAATAATTGCTGAAATAGTAAAGGATCCCATTCCTTGATGATAAACAGCAACTTCTGGAGAGCACTGGGTGATCACAGGTTGAAGTAGATTGGATGGGGATGGGTTGGGAGGCAAAAAATGGGGGAGATTGTGAGGGGTGATAGGGGAAGAGATGGGGAGATTGCTGGGGGGCAGAAGGAAGAGTTGGGGGAGATTGTGGTGGGGGACAGGAAGAGACAGGGAGGTTGTGGGGGGAGGAAGAGACTGTTGAAGGAGGGAGTGGGAGATAATATCATAATATGATAGAATTCACCCTTCATTTTGAGACGGAGAAGGTGGAATCAGATGTAACAATATTACAATTGAGTAAAGGTTACTACAAAGTCATAACAGAGGATCTGGCTACAGTAGATTGGAAGGGAAGACAGCAGAGCAGTAATGGCAGAGGTTTCTGGGGGTAATTCAGGAAACACAGTAGAAATTCATCCCAAAGAAGGAGAAACATCTTACAGGGAGGATGAGGCAAGCATAGCTGACAAGGGAAGTTAGGGACAATACAAAAGTAAAAGAAAAAGCATACAATGTGGTGAGGATTACTGGGAAGCCAGAGGGTTTAAAAGCCAGCAAAGTACAAATGAAAAAGCAACAAGGGGGAGAAGATGAAGTGAGAGTAAGTTAGCTAGTAATATAAAAAAAAATTGAAAAAAAGTTTTCTTTAGACAAATAAAAAGTAAGAGAGGCAAGGCTGGACATTGGAACGCTGAAAAATGAGGCGGAGAAGGAATAATGAGAAACAAAGAAATGGCTCATGAACTTAATTGATGCTTTGCATCATTCTTCATGTAGCATACCAAAACTTCAGAGTGTCAAGGGGCAGAGTTGAGTGCAGCGGACATCAGTAAGGTGGTGGTGCTGGGAAAGCTGAAAGGTCTGAAGGTGGATAAATCACCCAGAGTGGGTGGACCATATCCCAGAGTTCTGAAAGAGAGAGCTGAGGAGATCGTGGAGGCATTGGTGGTGATCTTTCAAGCATCACCTGTGTGTCAGGTGGGCCCCAGAGGACTGGAAAATGGCTAATGTAACATGCTGTTTAAGAAAAGAGGGAGACGGAAGATGGGGAATTATATGTCAGTTAGCCTGAGCTTGGTTGCTGGTAAGATTTGAGAGTCAATTACAAAGGTCAAGATTGCAGAGTACTTGGAAGTGCATGATAAAGAAGAACTGAGTCAACACTGCTTCATCAAGGGGAGGTCATGCCTTACAAATCTGTTACAATCCTTTGAGGAGGTAATAAACAAGTTTGACAAAGGAGAGCCTATGGATGTGGCCCATTTGGATATCCAGAAGACCTTTGACAAGCCGCCGCACAGGAGGCTGCTAAAAAAAAATAAGAGCCCATGGTGTTAGGGGCAAGGTGCTGGTGTTGATAGAGGACTGGCTGACTGGCAGAAGGCACAGATGGGAATAAATGGATCTTTTTCTGGATGGTAGCCTGTAACGAGTGGAGTTCCACAGGGGTCAATGTTACAACCACAACCATTCATGTTATAGATTAACAAACTGGACGTTTGAAAAAAAGCACAAGAATGGGTGGAGGGACAGGTAATGTTGAGGAAGCAGGATTTGGACAAGCTCGGAGAGTGGCCGGAGAAGTGGCAAATGGAATACAATGTGGGAAAGAGTGAGGTTACCCACTTGGTTAGGAACAATAGAAACATGGACTATTTTCTAAATTGGGAAAGGCTTCAGAAATCAAATGCACAAAGGGATTTGGGACTACTAGTTCAGGATTCTCTTAAGGTTAACATGCAGGTTCATCTGGCAGTTAGGAAGGCAAATGCAATGTTAGCATTCATGTCAAGAGGACAAGAATAAATGAGCAGAGACGTACTGCTGATGAAATGTAAGGCTCTGGTCAGGCGCATTTGCAATATTGTGAGCAGTTTTGTGCCCTGTATTTAAGGATTGGCATTGGAGGGCATCCAGAGGAGGTTTACAAGAGTGATCCTGGAGATGAAGAACTTGCCATAGGAGAAGTGGTTGAGGACTCTGGACCTGTATTCAACAGGTGAGGGGAGATCGGAGATCTCACTGAAACTTACAGAATACTGAGGGGCCTGGACAAAGAGGTTGTGGAGAGACTAGGACCTGAGGGCACAGCCACTAAGTGAAGGGACAACCCTTTAAAACTGAAATGAGGAGGAATTTCTTCTTCAGCTTGGCTGAGTCATTGAGCGTATTTAAGTCAGAGATAGACAGGTTGTTGATTAGTAACTGGATCGGGGGGAGAAGGTAAGAGAACAGGGTTGAGACATATATCGACCATGATCGAATGGTGGAGCAGACACGATGGCTTGAATGCCCTAATTCTGCTCCTTATATCTTATGGTCTAATGGAATGGGTGCGGGGGGTGGGGTGGGAGAGGTGGCGCGGTGGTGGTGGTGGTCGTGTTGCGCTGTGGGGATATAACGGGGAATGAAATGTCAGGATTAGAGTGCAGTCTAGATCGTGCTGTCCTCTGGGTCATTCCCTCAGCCTCAGTCACTCCCTGTCCCTCTCCCTCACTCACATATTCATCCTCGCTTAGTCACACACACACCCCACTTCTCTTCCTCACCCTCGCCTCTCTTTTACTCACTCAGTCACACACACACCCCACTTCTCTTCCTCACCCTCGCCTCTCTGTTACTCACTCAGTCAC